ATGACTGTGTGACCAACCATCATAATAACAATAGTGACAACAATTTGGTGAATCCAGATGTGCTCACTGATCCAAGAAGTTTACCTATCCTGCAGGAAGTTATACTATTATAATAGGGTCATAATTATATTGTTCATTAGAATAATTATACATAACTGGGGAATTCTTCAAGGGCAATTAAATATAATTTTAAGAATTGAATTCTTAACTGTTTGCCATTATAATTCTGTGTCTGCTTGGTAATAGGTCTGCCCATGTCCAGTTGGGTGGGTTTACTTCTTAGCTCTTTCTTGAAAATTGTACTTTTAATTCATTCAGTAAACCATTTTTTAAATTTGGAGTGGGGGGTATACTTAAAACTCTGTATTCAAAAAGTCATGCAAACTTTTCACTTAGGTTTTATTGTCCTATACTGGCTTAAATTATATATCCATTATTCAGATATATATTAGTCTACTTTAAAGCTTATTATAAAAACTTAGAGGATTTTTGTTCATTCTCAGGGAGGAGAACACTGCTATTACCATGGGAGCATCAGAGGCATCACAGAATCCAAAGCTGCTATTTCTACCTGTAATGGACTTCAGTAAGTATAATTACTAATAAATATTTCATTATTTTGCTACTCTGTATCATTGTTATTAGGCACCTTTCCACAGTCTATGCTTTGGACTACAGTGTCCCAGCAACTGATGATAACTAAAACAGAACAGAAAAGATTTCATAGACCAAAGAGACTCAGTGATGTATTCAGCAACAGAGCAAGCAGGTTGATTTTACTTAAACATCCACATTCTTTTACATAGAAAATGTCATAATTTCAAGTTAGCACACAAACAAATAAAATTGTAAATAGGATATTTGTCATAGTATTGAACCCCTCTCTCATTATAAATCTAGGGCTGTGCGTGGATTTGATTCCAAACTGGTGCTTTGGAGCATGCATGGGCCAGATCCTGGGTTGCATTCACACCGCTATTGCTCCATGTGCTGTTTTGGAACTGTGTTTGAAGCAATGCACAGCCTTATTGTCTTTTATCTCATGCATGCCTTCAAAGATGCTTCATCCTTCCTAATGGCAGCATAAACCATTTGCCCTGATGGTTATATATTCCATATATTTTGTGGAATATATGAATATGTAGTCTGAAAATGTGTGAGAGATCCTGTGAATACATGCTTTAGTGCACTCCGGTTTACTCATTTCTTGGTATTTTTAGAGTATTTAAAATGTGTTCTTTCTTTCTCATATTCTAGTGGTATGTTTGAAGACAATACTTACGTATACCTGATAGAACCTTTGGAGTTAACCCACAGCAAGGTATGTTAATACTGAGCCACCAAGATCTTGCTTTGATTTGTTGTAAAGGATGCAGATCCTAAAGCATATAAATTAAATAAGGCATTATTATTCAGTCTGAAATATAATCTATAACGCTGCATTTGAATGAATAATTTTACTGGATTTTTTTTATACTCTGTGTTTTATATATTTTTTAATTTCTTAGAAACATAGCTGTAGCCCAATATGTAACTTAAGTGAGGTTAACCTGACTGTTAAATACACTCACACCATCTACAATACTGACATGATATTCAGGTAAGCTCAGTGCCTTGTCAGACATTTTGGTTGTAGATGTGAAATCTAAGAACAAACTGTCAAAACTACAGAAATTTTATTTTATTTATTTTAGCAATTGTTATGGCCACCCAACTCTGGATGGCTAACATAGGGTTGAAAACAAAAAGCAAAAATAACCAACAAGAATAAAAGCAACAAAAGACGCAGTACAACTGAGACCAAACCAGAGCCATATTCGTATTCATAAATCATTGCAAGACAGGCTCATCCAGTGCTCCGGCCCACAGCCTACAGGAACAGCCAGGTTTTGAAAGGTTTACAAAAAGCCAACAGGCCCAGACCATCTGCATCTTGGGAAGTGTGTGATGCTGTTGCAAAGGGCAGGCATAGTGACAGAGAAGGCATGCCTCCTGCCTCCCCCTAGATGGCATGGTTCTTCTGAAGGGACCTGAAGCATGCCCACCCTGTCAGATCCTGTGGGACAGAAAGCAAATAGGCAGTCCCATAAATAATTTGGCCCTGTGTCATGACGGGCTTAATAGAACCGATGCAGGTTTCAAGCCATAATAAGAGAAAGATATGGATTGCATAAGCTGATATATTTGACTACTTTATTTGCATATAAAATACTTATGTTTTATGGTTGAGTTGAATAAAGCATTTCAGTGAGTTTTTGTTTGGTTTTTAATGGGCTACACAACCTCTTTTCAGGCTTGGCCTTAGGATAGAGACCATCTGGCTGGGATTTGAAAATTCAGGTCATTTTTACACAAGCAGGATGGTCTGAAACCCAGTTTTTTGGTCCTCGGAGCCTCCAGAAACGTTTGCAAACGAAGTCTAATTTCCCACTATTTTCAGCAAACAATAGTGAAATGAAATGGAGTATGAAATGAAAATAGCCTTCTTTTAGGCTTATACATTAAAAATATAATTAATTGAGCTTGTTCAATTAATCCTCTATTTTGGTTTCATGTTCACCAAATAGTTAATATGGTATAATGAAGATGATTGTTGATTAAAGATGTGAATGTGCTCTAGAATGATGTACCATAAATTTGGAATCTGTCAGTATATGAAATATGGATATTTTGCTCATGGGAGATAGCAAGAAAAATCAGTACTGGAAAAGAAGAGTGATTCCAAATTTATAATTTTGGATTATAGATATGTGCTTACTTTCATTAAGAAACTGGCATTCTATTGTCATAATGGAAAGACTAATATTATTTTGTGTGATCAAGTTTTCAAATTTGGCTGAATGATTTTTTTCTCTTTGTATTTAATGTGGTATATTCTATTTATCTATCTTATTTATTGTGTAAAAAAGCAAAAATAATTTCTTGGAAGACATGCATAGCCTTGCACTATCAATGTACTTTACAAAATTTTTGCAATAAAATATTTCACTTAAAAAAAAAAGGAACAAAAAGACAATTCAGGAACTTGAACAGCAGCTTCAATGCAACACTTTCCCCTTAACTTATCAGAAAATGAAGGACATTAATAAGTGAGTACCAACTATTCAAGATTTAGAATTGAAGAATACATGTCTGAAAGGGGGGAAGAGAGCAAAGCCAGAGGGTGGAGGGAAGCTACAATTTGTAGAAATGTTCCCCAAAATAGAAAATGGATTTAAAGCTATATTTAGTGAACAGCTTGAAAGAGCTCAGTCAAAACAAGGGGGCATCTCCTTTTAATTATGGTTACCAGAGGCAAGGTGGGCCACGTACAATAAAGAAATATTTTTCCACCGTTTTCTGTAAGATTTCAGAGGTAGTATCTCACTATGCAGTACTCTTTGAGAGAAACCAACTCCTTCAGACCTCCTATTGGGTAGTCAGAAAAGAAGGTGACATGCCAAAGCACTGATGGAATTGCTGCAAGTATCTTGGTTGGCTGTGATCTTAGCCTTTGCTTGTTATGAAGCAAGGGCAATCAAGGAAGTGTTTGGTAAGGTAAACCTAAAGTAAAGAGGGTGTTCATTGGCAATCATTTTGGTGGACCCCTCTCTGGAGGAGCAGATGTTTCTTTTTCTCCATCTGGGAAACTAGTGTCCTAGCTTTTGCTTAGTATAATTTAGAGAATTGCAGAACTTGGGTGGCCCTGGATCAGTCTTGACTTGGTTAGGCAAACATGAGTATAGTCCAAACAACGGTTGGGGCAGATTGCTATAAAATTGCTTTTTGGGAAAGCAGTTATACATTTTAATCACATGAAGGATAGGAAGGGGAGGATCATGCTTAAATTGATTTGGTTTGGATCAAGACAAAAGAGAAGAAGAGGTGTCTTTTCAGATGGGCAGATAAGATGGGTGGTTGAACAAAAAGGCTTTGTGGAAATACTTGATTTTTCCATAATGAATTGAATTACTTCATTTTTTGAGCTATAGCCCAGTTTTATGCTACAAATAAACCAATATTCCAGGTTTTTTTGTCTTGAACAATGTTTGCCAATGTTTGAAGCGTTTAATAAGCCACACAGATTAATCAGTGTTTCCCCTGCATAAGGCATATATTTTTAACTGTAATCCAGAATAGAGTCTCCTCAAATAATACCTTTAAAAATGCCTCTCAACTTCTGAAGCATAGTTAACCTACATTCTGAATCAAAGTGGGATTCCAAACAAGACTTTCATAATCATAACAAGTTGGGGACCCTGCACAAAAAGACCCCATTCGGTGGGGCTTTTCTGCTGCACAGTAAATGATTTTGGCCATTGCCACAGGTTGACCTATTTCTAGGCTTCTTGCCACCTTTCTAGAGATTTTGTTCTAGTTCCACAAATAACAGCATATGCTAAAAATCACACTGCTTTCAAGAGCATCAAGGTAAGCTTTCACTATGATTTTCTTCAGTTATATAGAATATAGAAGCTTTTTCACTAATAGAGTTTTTTCCCACGTGTGTAGATGGATAACAGAAGCAGGTTTTTCTCCTCTCACTTATTAGGCCATGTTAGTAGCCCATTTTTTTTGCTATGGATTATTACATGGTATACATATGCTTATCTTTCTAGGAGACAGAAGAATAAAGACATGAAGAAGACTTCAGCAAAAACTTCCTATTAAAAGAGTACTTTTATTACATTTGATGGCAAAGGATAGCATACATTGATAATTAGGGAGTTATTGTATTCCAAGTGCTGGTATTTACATGGCCAGAACAACTATAGGAAAGATGTAAAAGCTTGCTTTATAGAACTCCAAAGGTTCTCAGAAGTACAAACATTTCCATCAATAGCTCATTAGGAAGTGAGCATGTTTGTTTGTTACTGAATGGTAATGGATTGTTAGAGAATTAAATATGAAAAACTAGATTTAAGAGAAGGAATTATAGTTTCAAGTTCCAATTGGAGTCCACTTAGATCCTCCTTTCTATCTTTATGTAATTGTAAAGTAGCATCAGGAGAAGTATCTGAAGGCTGAGGACCCCCTCCCAAAACAACAAACCAAAAAACTCAGGAAAAATATGGTCAGTGTCCACCCAAATAATAGCTAACCAGTAGGAGATGGGATGGAGGACCAGCAAGGCAATAAATGGAGTTCAGGCCAGTTGCACTGCTGGTGAACATCCAAAGAGAAATATTCCACAGTGCAATAGTCCAATTTGTATAATTCAAAAATGCAATTTCAGGTTTCTGTATATGCAAAATTCTCCAGCCTCTATTATATACATAAAGATGTTAAATTGAATATATGTGTGTGTGTGTGTATACACACACGCACACACAGATAACCGAGAATTTTAGGTTCCAAAGTACACGCCTAAAACTGGATTCAGCTTATCCATGGATGGGCTTATCCATGAGTATATTTGGTATATGTCTATCCAGATAAAAATATCCTATCACACTTAAATTTATGTTACCAACACAATATCATATTTGTTTTTTCTTACAGAGCAGTACAGGTAGACCACATGTCATTCGGAGAACATTTGGAACTAATACCTTCAGTCATTTGGAAGATCTTGGTATGACATTATTTATATTTTAATAAGATTTGTTACTAAAACTATATGAACTCTGTAGATTTGTAAATAATTTAAGTGGCACATCTACCAGAAAAATTATTAGTATAGTTAACAGAAATTTACATAGTAGTATGCCATCATGATATAACAGAAACATTCTTAGTTTCCATGTGGAATTAGATAATCAGTGTGATTACTGTTGCCAACAGCCACTTCTCTAGATAAACAGTTCTTTGTGACCACCTGATTGTTAGACTAACTGTAATTGTTAGAAAGCTCTTCTGAGAGAAATTTATTCTTTACTCTGCACCATTGAAATTGTGTGGGCAACATACACCAGGATGTGATACTGTACTATTAACTCTCTGAGTTGTCCTCTATAGAATGAAATACCATGAGCACAGTCTACATATATGAAACTGAGTGTTAAAGCCATTTTATTAAAGAGCAGCAAGGAGCTGGTTCATCATCATTCTTCCTGTAAGCTTAGACTACAAAAAAACTATAAACAGCATATTTTCCAAATAATAATATATCTAGTAGAGTTTATATAAAACTGGCCTTATATTTTTCTTTTGATAATGGCAGCTGTCCAACTGTTTCCCATATTTTGGAGCAATTGTAAAATGTATACAACCTTCACAGTAACCCCTACCTCTGTGATGAAATCCTTCTTTCTCCAAGAAAGGGAATAGTTAACTAATCAACCCATAGACATAATATTATATGTTACTGGAAACTCCCTTCACTGTAATATTCAGGAGGTTTGAAATGAGAAATGCTTTAAATTTGCTTTTTGTAGGAGGATGATTATATGCAGAACGAGTACTGTCAGTAGTCATCAAAGATAAGATTGGCACTGTGAATAATTTGAACAGTAGTTTATCATCCCATCATTATCAGCCCCAGTCATTTGGGGACAAACTTTCATTTGGGTGAATAAAGCTGAGGATTGAATACTAAACTCTGCATTTAAAGTAGCTTGAACATGTTGGCTAAAGATAGCTGATCTGAAACAAAGGAAGGTTTTATTAATAAAAGGGAAAAGGACCAATATATTTCATTTGATAAAGTACAGGTACTGTGTGATCAAACAGAAATTTCTTTGCTATTAATCTTACTTTCTGTAGATACTGATTCCACATCTGAATGGTCCTTTCTGTCTGAGTTGCAGTGGCTAAGAAGGAGAAGAAGGGCTGTGAGTGTTACGACGTCAGTAATACTGCATCAAATCACAAGATCTCTTTGCTTTTAAAATACATGGGAAAACTATGTGAAGCTTAGTATTGTGTTATACATCAGCTCTCATGCTGAAGTGATTTGTATTGCAGAAGATCACTTACTTCACCTCACAATTTTTTTTCATTTCAAGCAGAAAATTGGTGAAACTGACATAAATATAAATCATTGAACAAATAGCAGGTAGGTAGGTAGATAGTAGGTAAGTGGTTAAAATTGCTCAGGTACGCAATTGATTGAGTAAAGAAGAAGAGACCCTATTAATGTTTATGGCAATATTTAATCAAATACAAATTAATAGGGGTAAAGGAAACCTAGAGGAAGGATGGTGGGGAGAGGGAAGTACCAAAAATTATGTTGAAGTATGATGTAGACTGCTTACAGGAGATAATTTCATGTTTACAAAAATTGTCTTAAAGAGTTTTAAATTTTATTTAAATTTTTATCACGGAAATTTTATATGTAGTTATCTATAATTAATATTTTTTTCAGGATTGGGGTAAATGTAATTTGTGATTGAATTAACTGAGCTACATAATGAAATGCTGCTGTTCTATGTGACATGGATTTAAATCTCAATAAAGCATAAACCTTTTTGAAAAAAAATATAGAAACAATGATCTATCAATTGAAAATCAAATCTCTAAACACTGTCATTCAAAGAATGAATGGTTTGAATTCTTATGAATGCAAATAGATTGCTATGTACACTCCATTTCTGCAACTAGTGAGAAGTTTAAGAGAACTTGGTTTGTTTCCTTCACTAAGAGTTCATACATAGCATTTTGTGATATCCAGTTTATTTACAAATATACAGATGCCTGTACTTTTGGTCATTCCAAAGTCTATATCTAATTTTTAAAAAAAGAGCCAGTGTTTGCAGCTTGATCACACTCCCATCCCTACTGGGAAGGGTATAGCCAACAAATTGCATATGGTTCTGTCTCTGGTTTGTTAACTTACCCTGTGCAACATGGACTCTGATTTGTTCAGAGAGGAACAAACCAGAGTTTAACACAAACTCAAACTCTGTGGTATTGGAGAACAGTAAACATTCCTGTACCAATGGAATGGGAAAACAATTTCTATGAATATAACATCATATCAAAACTGAAGAGAGGTTATTTATTTATTTACATTTATTACATGTATATATTATATTTATTTGACAAGAACTCAGAGTCATGTACATTGAATTCCCAGGTTGTTTCTGATTAGACTCAATCCTGTTTAGTTTCAAGAAATTGGCTGCATCATATGCTTTCAGACCATACCCCAGAACAATGTAAAAATTCATTCAAAAGTATTGATATTATATTGATTAATTATTAGCAGAAAAAATTCATATAATGCTAAATATGCAAAGATATGCCAGATTTTGCATAGGTACAACAGTTTTCTATTCAACTACATGGGATAGTCATGCCTGTCCCAGTCTTTGTGCATGTGCTGATTGTGTAAGGCATATGTTGTATAAACTGACCTTTCTTGGACATACATGTGCAGTAATGACAAAACATATGAAGTTTCATTGAGTCAGACCATGGTTCTACTTAGCCAAGATCCCAGAGGATTCCTCATCCTTCATAGCTATTCATCACCTGCACCTGTAGGGGAAGTGGCTTTCAGTTGGGGGGTGGGAAGAGGAAGTATACTTTTTTCTAAAGTCAAAAAACCCTTGCTGTTGTGTCAGATAGCTGTTCAGCTTTTCAAAGCATCTTTGTCACACTCATTGTGCCTGATGGAGTTCCCAGCCACCAACATGGCAGGACTAATTTGAACCTATCATCTGAAGTAGTAGCAAGCCTTTTTTTTTTAAAAAAATGTTTTTACAATTAAAACAAGAAAAGTTGTAGAAAAAGAAGAAAAAAGTAACTATATCCATGGCTAGAAAAATGGACTTTTGCATCCCCCAAGAATTTTCCGCTCTTTTTATTTTGAAAAAGACTGAAAAAAGGCTGAGTTAGATATTCCCCAATGAAATTAATACAATATCATTTGCTGTTAGTATATTTTAAACACTCTACAAGTTTTAGTAAAGCAGATTTAAGTACATGGTGCAAGCTATCATGACAGATAGTAAAACAATCTATTTTTTAAAAAATCTAACTGTCCTTTTTAAAATCTTACAGGCATTGCGTGGCATCTTTGAGGAAATGAAATACCTGGAGCTCATGATTGTTAATGACTATAAAATGGTAAGTTGATTCTATTAGTTGTTTCTATTCTTTTTTATAATAGTTGATGGTGAAAAATGTATATCTTACTTAATGATATTATTGATAATTGTACTTTTGAATAAATACTATGAATTAAGGAATGTGCACTGGGAGATCCTTGGAATATGGCTAGATTATGGGTATCATAAAAGCCAGGCCTAAGATTACTTGATGCCTTCATAGCCAGTGTTATTGCCAGAAGCGCACTGGGAAAGACCACAAAGTTGATATTACAGTTTTACAGGTTGTTGGAGAAGATAGACTTGGGAAGTGATTCATTTTGGTTGTCTTTCTCAAGGTCTGGTTCAACATTACGTCTGTCATGCAATTAAAATTATGAGAGGGGGTTAGAAGGGCCACAGTCATCTTCCTTGCCTTCTCTATCCCATCATACTTGGCCTGTCCCCATGCCTCTGAGGGCTTCAGGAGTTCAGAATAAGGAATCTACTCTTCATGCAAGGGCCAGTCCTACCACAGTCAGGGTGGTAGGACTCCAACTCATGTGGAGCCAATGCATATTGAGGAATTTTTGAACTCTTTTGTCCAAAGATTAACAAAATATGTTTCCAGATGCGGAACTGTTCCTTTGTGTTTGTTGTCCCAATGATTCAGCAAATTTATTGAGAAATTTTAAACTAAAACTTGGGGTGTAATCTCTTCACTACATAGAGTTTTAAATATGCTCAGAGAGCCAGTTTGGTGCAGTGGTTAAAAGCTCCAGGCTAGAAACTGGGAGACCGGGAGCTTAGGCATAAAGCCAGCTGGGGACTTTGGGCCAGTCATTTTCAGGCCTAGGAAAAAGATACTGGCAAAGCCATTTTCTAAATGCTGCCAAGAAAATTGTGTAGACTTGTTCAGTTGCCAGGAGTCAAGATTGACTCAAAGGCACTATATGTAAATAAGCTGAGAATAAGCAATTAATTTTAACTAGCTTCCTTTATCAGAAGAATTTACTCTTTTTTTGTGAATAAAACTTTACTTGAAAACTTTATGCAAGATATCCATATATACACATTTCTTTCTGGACTATTATGGCAAATCTACAACAACTAAGTACAGTCTTTGCAGAACATTTTGCACTTGAAACATAAAAAAACACATTGAATATGAGCAACAGTAGAAGGCTTGCAATCAATAATTTTGAACAAGAATTTAAATAAAAATTATGAGGGAAGGTTATTGCAAATTCATGTTTTATGCTCTTTCTATTTGTGCAATTGACTTTTATGAACACAATGTAAAACTGTTCAGAGAAAATTTTAGTGTGGTAGTTTCTCTTTTTGGCATTGCCAGGAAGCAGTGGAGAATAATCAATGTTTTGATCAGATTATGACTTAACATTTTTCTTCTAGTTCAAAAAACATCGCTCATCTCATAGTAATACGAATAACTTTGCGAAATCTGTGGTAAATCTTGTGGATGCTGTAAGTATTGCCATATTCAGTACAATTAATAATAGATTACACTGTATTCAGTATTTGACTGGGAGAAATAGTGGCAGTAGGGAATGATAAACTGTAAAGGCAACCATTTGTCCCAGAATTTTCTTACACTGAGAGCAAGAACTGGTTTACATGAACATCAGGGTTGGTTATCTAAATCCCAGGTTTTATATTACCCAAAAGAAATACCAAAGTTTGTAGAACTACAAAAAATCTTTAGAAAAGAATCTCTGCTGGAGTGTAACAAGGGGGGGACAAATGACATCACCTGAGTCATGATGCAAATAACACAGGTTGTGTGATTTGTGCCATGATGTCATAATGCAATGGACACAAATTGCATAATTTGTGTCATTTGTGTGATAAGGTCTTGACATCTATGATGTAATCATGGCTTCTACCAGATGCCTGTGCGCACATATCCACACATATGTACTAAAAAGAAATGAATCTTTGATCCTAGAAAGAAACATTCAGTGTCCTCTGAGACGTGCAGGGAAAAGAAATTCATGATTTTAAAACATGACTTTTCTTTGAGTTTCACAGAAGGTATTCTTTCTTTTCCTGTAATGCTATCCTATGTAGCACCCTACACTCAAAAGCTGCCAGTACTGAAGAAAAAAAAATTACAATGCTTTGAAAAGGAACAGACAGAATCCCAAGAAGAGATCTGAACAATGAATTCTTTGAAAAAACTGCCTTAAAATGCAGGCAGCTATAATTGCCATTTCTACACAAGGTTTTTCTTTAGAGCTTGATGGGGACAGTGTATTGAATAAGCCATCCTAAAATGGTAGATACTAAAACTTTATTATCCACCTTCGTTTCTTCAAATGCAACAAATGCTCCACTTCTTTGTGCAGAGAAAGACTATCTAGATAAAAAATAGAATTATTTTGCACATGTCCTATGTGCCCATTCTAGTCCTAGTATGAAATGGGCCTGACAGAATGAAGGGAGGGACAATTCTTTGAAAAAATGAAACCAAGGATTAGTTGTTTGAACAGAAGATGTATCTGTAATCTTACCTTGTTGTGAAAAAGACATAACTGGATAACAGGACAGAATACCTACTTACCTACCTATCTAGTTAGTTGCTAGAAATGCAGTTTGAAGTATGAGTGATTTTAATGAAGAGGCATTCATGAATTCAAGCAGAAAAACAAGAGTTGTGAGCATCCAGTTAAGATGTTTGGGGTAACAACAAATTGTTGTTGTTCTGCTCACTTCAGGTTTGGAAAATAAATTCCCAGATTCAGAATTCTTGAATTTGAAGTGTATGTTCTTACAATTAAAACAGAAATAAAATAAAATAAAACCCCACAAGCATGAGGTCTGTCCGCTCTCAACTGTTTTTATGATTTTCTACCACAAACTATATAGTAAATACTACATAATGATGTAGTGATAATTATGCAGTCCTTCGTAGTTCTGAATTTACTGTAAGTTTACTGGAGTATTGATTATTAGGGAAATTAGAAGTATATTATCTAATTATATTCCAATGTTTCTCTCCTACTTTACCCTGTTTGTCTTTCCACTGATTGATTGGCTAACTGTGCATGTCTGACCCAGTGTTCCACTCCTGTGCTTGTCCTGTCTTTCCCCACAGATTTACAAGGAGCAACTAAACACCAGAGTTGTTCTAGTTGCTGTTGAAACCTGGTCAGACAGAGATCGTATTAATGTTCACTCGGACCCAAGGCAGATGCTTCATGATTTTTCCCGATATCGACAGAATTTCATCAAGCAACATGCTGATGCCGTGCATCTCCTCTCGTATGTAAAAAGAGGAGAGATGGGCTTGTCCACTCTTCTTCTCAAGAGGCTTAAAGGATCTGTATTCATCTAATTCTCAGGTTTTATGAAATACAGCACCTCTTGATTCACCCAATAAATTAAGAGATTAGCCAAAATACTTTTACAGCCACTTTTTCTTTTAGACATTATATCAACCTTTTGGGTTTCAAAACTGGAGCTTACTTGATCAGAACATTTTCCTTGTTGTTTTTTGATTCAATTAATTGTACCCAAAATTAATACTGCTTTTCACAAAGTCCAAGAGTTATTTCTATACAGGAATATATCTTATCCAGAAAAATGCTATCTCATTTTCCTGTATATCATCTCATTTTTACATTTTTGCTATTTGTTTCTTGCTATGACATCTTCTAAAACTGGAAATGTTACTTATCCTTAAACAAGGACAGTTGAAATAGAATTATTATAAATAACCCATCCAAGAATATTCTGCATCAATGGCATTAAAGGAACTGACCAAAACAAGCCCAGTTGTTCTGATTGTTTGTGTTACACCATTTCGTTTTAAGATAATGATCTTAATATTGTTTTGTCTATCTGTCTTGTTCTGAAGGAATGTGACATTTCATTATAAAAGAAGTAGCCTGAGCTATTTTGGAGGAATTTGTTCGGTGGCTAGAGGTGTTGGAGTAAATGAGGTAATATTTCTGTTTCGGAGAAATGTATTTATCACATTTATAAAGCCACATGACTACATGGGTAGTCTCTGACCACTCATTCACCAACTGTTCATAGTTGTGATGGTGCTGAACAAGTGGTATTTATGACCAGTCTTCAAAGTTCTGGCCATCGCACCACCCCCACAGTCACATGATCATGATTCAGGTTCTTGGCAACCAGCTCACACTTACAACTGTTGCAATGCCCTACGGTCACCTGATCGCCATTTGTGACTTTCCCTGATGGCTTCCCACAAGCAAAGTCAATGGGGGATCTGGCAGGGAAGATTGTAGATCTGTCCAGTAAGTCCCCTCAGCCTCCCTGTGCTCATGCAATACAACACCCTGCGTTCCCTGGCCTCCCTGCGCTTATGCATGGCCTGCGGTGGATCTCCCAGGGCCTCCCCCACCCACCCACGGCACCTCCCCATGGCACCCCCATGCTTCTTACCTGGAACTTCCCACTTAATGATGAGTCTTGGGGTTACAACAACAACCATGACTGCCAGGATTGTTGTCACTAAGCAAGCAGTCACATGATGTTGCATTTTACGACTGAATTGCTTAACAACAGCAATCTCAGTCCCAATTACCACCATAACTCGAGGACCACCTGATATAGTGACTCTGGGTGGCATACAGTATTAAATACAAAATTAGCAACAATAAAAAACATAGTGGAACAACTGGAAAGGGTAATACTGACACTCTGTCAACATACTACTTTCTCATATCCCCCAACCTAACCCAAGGCTTGGGAAAAGAGCCAGGTGTTAAGGGCTTGTTTGAATGAGGCCAGAGTAGGGGGGATGCAAACCTCTGGGGGGATGCTGTTCGAGATGGTAAGCATCTTTTGTGGGGATTGGGGCATTCTAAAAGATGCCTCATAGTGTCTTTAAAATTTGGAAATGCTTTTTGTAGATTATCTTGAAAGATCTTATATTTGAATATAATTAATTAAATTTATTTGCCCTTTTCTCCCAGGATGCTTGATTGAAGGCAGACATTTAGTTAAAAGCCTGAGCAATGTCTATAGGAGATATGTTGCAATTATATGTTGCTCATTAGCACTACAAATAATGTTTTCACATATTTAGGGGCAGTGCAGTCTTATCTTCATTCATCTGCTGACCAGATATAATTCTTTTCTGCTTGCAGTTGTAACAAGTGCTATTGGTTATCGGTTGTTATCTCTGTTACTGGTTCTGTTAGAGGATATTGCAAAATTTAATGGCCATGGAATTAGGAGGATTGACTCTTCTATCATGAATAGAGAAAGCCCTCTTAAAAACTGCAGCCCATGTTGTACCAAGATTTAAAATAACCTCTGCTGGATCCAATAGGAACTTTTTAAAAAGCCTGGCTGTCATACAAGAGGCGGGATTTCCGAGAGAGCAATCTAAGTGACAGAATACCCAGCATTGCTTGGATTTCATATATGTTATGGTTTTATCTGTTTTATTTTAATCCTGCCATGGATGTTTTCATATTGATTGCCTTTGTTTTTGCTTATAATGACTGTAAACCATTGAGAGGTTATCCAATTGGTGCAGATATACATCTGATAAATAAATAAATGTAATATACTTTGTCTTGGTTAGACTGTTTTTGTTGGCCTGTTTCTCTTTTGTTTCTCTTCTGTTATTTCTTGGATCCCTTTGTTTTCTATTCATGAGTTCATCACCTGCTCTTTTTATCCTTTGAATGGTGAGATTGTTTCACAGAGTAAGCCTATTTCTAATAGTAGTGGGAAGTAGTAGTGGGAAAGACAGTTCTGGGAGTTGGATAGTAACCATTCTCTGAGTTAGTTGTATTTTTTCTCACTTCTCCTCAGGACAAGATTCATTTATGACTGCTTAAATTCAAGAAAAACATGCATTTGTTGTATACTAACAGAAACAGTGTTTCATGTACTTAGAAGAAAACTCTGTTCAAGTTAGGAAGATATTTCTACAGAAATTTTAGAATTTAAGTTAAATTATATACAAGAGTAGAATTTTTATTACAGTCACTGAACAGAATTGCAAACAGAAACACTTTAAAAATAAAGTAAAAACAAAACAAAACAAGATAAAAAAATTATACACAATTTTACGATGGAAGCTTTATATTAAACGTGTAGTAATCTGTATTACCTCTCTTTTTTCACCCTATTTTAATCTATATTGATATCTTTTTCTAACAGTATGGGCTTTCCTGGGCAATAGCACAAGAACTGTCCCAAAGTTTGGCTCAGAATCTAGGAATACAGTGGGAGCCAGCGTCCAGAAAACCAAGTATGTGCTTAGTCTCCTGGTATCAAATCAAATGTTTGCATAGTTTTTACATTCTCTGAATAGGGTTAACTATTTTGTTGTCTGAGAATCTTTTAAGTCTATTCAAGCAACTGGACTTTGCTGCCCATTTGTCAAGAAAGGATGGGGAAAGGCTGGAATATGACATAAGGTATAGCAATGTGCGTAGGAAATCAGCAATATTTGGGGTGAGGTGGGGGAGTGTTGTGCTTTACCTAAGCAGAATTTCATTTGCACAACACATATCGAATCAAGAATTCATATAAAAAGTTCTTTAAATACTGCGCATTAAGATTCTTCAGGGCCTCAGATTCACTTTTCAAAATGTGTTTTCGAGGTCTTTGGTGCTGTTTGTGACACTTTAAAGCAGCAATGCGCTTTCTTGGCATTGCATGATACCTGGGGAGGGGCAGGTACATGATCCAAAGAGAAGACACAGTTGCTTTCAGATGCTGTGGATCCTGTGTTAGCTTTTCCACATGCTCCGGACTATGTATTGGAGATCGAATCCAAAGTGCTACAGAGTTCTACTACTGTATGAATCATCTTTTTTTTTTAATTAGACACCTTAAAGAAAACATAAATAAATACAAAAGAGTACATAAATAAAGAATAAAAGAATATAATCAAGATGAATAAACCAAAGATTTTAAAATGTCATAGAAGTTGTAGCTTTCTAATGTATCATTAATTAGTTGTAAATAGGTGAATATATTATCAATATTTAATATATGAGAGCCAGCTTGATGTAGTAGTTAAGGCACCAGGCTAGGAATCAGGAGACTGTGAGTTCTAGTCCCACCTTAGGCACAAAGCCAGCTGGGAGTCCTTGGGCCAGTCCCTCTCTCTCAGCCTGACTGACTCACTGACTCAAAGGCACATTAAAAATACACACACACACACACACACACACACAATATTTATTCAATACTGTATTAAATATATTCAATACTGTATTAAAGTGGTGTGTAACAACTCACCTGCCAAATCAACTAGCCCTGAAAATGGATGGCGCTGGAGCACTGGGCCCATACCCAGCCATCTCTGGCAAAGCGTGCCCTGGGGGCTAGGCTGCAACAAGTAGGAGGACCGCTGTGGTGGGCCTTGAAGCCTAGGGTGCAGGCCCAAGTGGAGCTGCTACGAGCTCAGATCTTGGCGGTATTAAATATATTAGCATTAAGAGACCAAGAATCACCTTCAGCTAATAATAGATATCAAGAACCATGATCAACATAATATAAATCATGAAATGAAATTATACATTGTAATAAGTTCAGTCCACATTACTAAGAATCTATTTATATTTAAGTGAAGTAGTAATTCTGTGCATAGGTAAACCCAAATTTTGGATGTGATGCCAATCCATGTATTAGATTATAGTCTAAGAATTGTTTCCAGTTTGAGCTGAAACCTCAGTCAGGTTTACTTTTAAGGTACAATGTTATTTAAAAAAAAAAAAAAAACTAGATGCACATCTAATCATTTCTGTGTTTCCAATTCTTTATTAATCGGTATTTGATTCACTTCAGTATTGTTTTTCTGAAGTATAGCTTATAAATGTTGTATAAAATAGTTGTTGATTTTTAGGCTCATCTTGAAATTTTTGTGAACCAACATTATTCAAAGATGTGCAAACATTATTTTAGTAACCCTTCACAAAACTTGATATTGCCATCACATAAACATACAATTGAAGGTAGCTATGCTGATGGAAATACTAAGGACTAGCCTGTTCAATTTTTGACCTTAATAGCAAAACCTACTTATATTGGTATGATTTGTAAGTGAGAAGATCTGGTTGCGGACAGGGTAATCTAAGTATCATCTGGCAACGTGGCACAATGTAAAATGTGGCTCTATAGTGAAACACTAAGGTTTGAGAAGCGGATGAAGGAAGTTCAGCTACAAATTAACTTTAGGATAATATTTTCATATTTCTCCTTCTACTTGCCTGTTTTCTTTCCAGCAATTTTCAGTAGATCATAATTTGTTGTTTTGGTCATACTGGGCTAAATGTGAATTGGATGCCCATGGTTTGCTAGCAAACAAAATTGAAAACTGGTGCAAATTTTTAGCAGAGTCCCTATTTTTATATTATCATCTGCATTTGGCTTTTGAATACAGGCAGAGGGCCTCATTTTCCTTACTGTCATAAAATTGTAATTGGATTGTAACTTCTGCACAGGATCTAGGATCTAGATTCCTGGATTTTCCAGGCCATGTGGGACCTGAGGATATACAGCCTTCTTCTTGATTCCTAGGAAGACTATTTCCAAAAAAAAAAAAAAAAGGAAATAGTTTTAAAATATCCTCAGACCAGCTTTAATTGTAAGTTTACATCATGTTTCTTTACAAACTTGTAAAGATAGAATTTTTATCCAAACATATAATGATAAATTTGCAGTTCAGTGCAGTAATTATAAATGTGCTGGCTTGTTCTTTGCTAATCTTAGATACTGTATTTACGTGAAAGAAAGAAGAGTGTTTCCCCCACCAAATATATTCCTGCAGATTGGTGTGTACGTGTGTATATCATCTTAAATTTACTGAGAGGAAGACACTGACATGAGTGAATGAATAAGAGATGTAAATAATGAAAAATGGGTGGAAACAGAGGCAGGAGAGAGGAAGAAGCCAATTGCTTCAAGAATAACAAGGATGAGCATGCTAGTATTATCCCCTCTTTGTTCTCTCTGTATGTAAAGAGTGAGTGCCTGCCATGGAGAATCTCCTTCATGCTTGGAAGCTATGTTGATCAATGACTGTAATACAGATTAATTTGATTTGATTTGATTTGTTCTTGGAGGATAATGAGGGCTCAAGAAAATCAGGGTCCTCTTTAGGTGGGGTTAGAGAAGTCTCTGTTCCAAACATTCAGCCCCTGCACATGAAGTGGAATGAGAGGAGAAAGAAGCTAGATTGCACAGGAATGTTACCTGGGAGTAGCATCCAATGGACTTAATGGGACTAACTGCGGCATAAGCATGCATAGATTTTCTTGTGCTTCCAGAAGACGTCTACCAACTTCTTTCTTGTTGGAAACAGGAGTGAACAAAGGGTGGGGGTGAAGCAATGCTGCAAGGATCTCTTCTTAATTTAATTTTTTTTCTAGTCCTATCTATTGAATTACATTTCTGGTCATGCATGTGTACTCATGTGGTCATTAGGAGTCAAAAATGATTTGATGGCACATAATCACTCAATCAATCATGCATGTATACATATATACATATGTACAGGATTTTTGTTTTAACTTTTTCTCTGTCTGATTTTTCTTTTGAGATTGTTTTAATTCCAGTGCAGTCTTCTTTTCAGGTAAATATGGAATTCCTTTATGGTTATCAGATGTGATATTCAAAATTCAGACATCTGAGGACTAAAAATACTTACTGTATTTCTTCTCTGCTTTATTTTATATGTTATTTTGTTATACATATTGTAAACTAATTTCATTCTCTCTCTCTCTCTCTCTCTCTCTCTCTCTCTCTCTCTCTCTCTCTCTCTCTCTCTCT